TCAGACGATTTGACAAACATATTCATACATGTACAGTATATATAATAAACTTTATTCTTGTCTCTGTGGTCTCGCTCATTTTCTTGCCAAAGGAAGGTCGTCCACCCTCCACAGCCGCCGCTGAGCAGAAGGTTAGGGATAGACCGTCGGGTGCACTTGCCGGAGAAATGTTCAACATTTCTGGATGGACCATTCTCACCAGGCTGCTTTTCCAACTTCAAGCACGGACATCTCCGCGTAGTCGGCTACTCGTTGTGGGGTTGACAGCGACCTGGTCTCGTGACCAAGGACGTCACTGGAAGAAGCCCAATATATCAAACAATCGGGTTTGCGAAGTACAAAGGCTTGGTCACAAGGCGGTCTTCAGCATTTAAACAATGTTAAACATACCTGAAGATGTAAAACATAGCGTATCTTGGACCATTTTCTCCTTGTGTTCGGTTGCACCACCGTTCAGCGCAAGACAGAACACCGTCCGACCTTCCGGTGCACCGAGGATCCCTTTGCCGAGCACTGGGAACCTCAAAGACTGCGCCTTGGCGACCGAGGTTCGCAGAGGACCGATGTTATTGTGGCAAAGGCCAGACAGTGAGTGGAGGGGACTTCCAAGGTTATTCGACCTGAAAAAACGGGTTCGATCCACCTACCCTCTTGCCCAGAAAACTGTTTGGAGTTGGATTCCGCGATCATGCACATCAATTTTGTGCCCTCAACGTCCACCTTTCTGTTTGTTCGCAGGGAAGGTCGAATTCGCAGGAAAAGACCCCGAACGATCCTGAACCAGACATGGAACACATCCCACAGTCTTTGGTGCATCCCAGGGCACAGACGGTGCCACTTGTTGACCGTTAAAAAAAACTTGTTCCCAGTCGAAACTGCGGTCTGGACTGCCTCAGACGGGCTCACATCTCGGCTCAAGACCACGACACCCATCGCGACTCCAAAGCCACACGGGCGGGGTCCGAAGCGTGTCCATGGAGTCTACTCTGGGGTTTTTGCCAACCCCAAAGCCTCTTGGTGGTGTTTTTTCGGACCGATGGATGGGGGTCATGGCTTTTTTGAAGTCAGATATTGTTGGCGCACACGGCGTGAGAAAGAGTTCTTGACAGTCTTAACATTTCGAGAGCTGAGAGTGAAACAACCGGGAAAGATAGACCATGCATCCTGCAAACCTGCAAACTGCACAAATCCGGTCCCGGGTTGAACAGAGGATTGTGGCAAGAGTTGTGGGAGCAACTGAGGAGCTGGATATGTGTTTAGCCCCAGAGGCTGAATTGTTTTCCCGAGTTTTGCAATTCACAGTCGCCCTGCCTGCCTAAGGTTGAGAGGTTGATGGTACAAGGATGTAACAGGCAAATCACTTCCACTATGGAGTCGCAGTAAACATAAATCAACAAATGCAGTAATCAGACATGCACACGATGCATGATACCATTGTTGGTCGTTGCAGAAGTTGTTTTATGGTCAGATCATGTTCCAGCGGCAAACTGCGTTGCAGGGTCTGATTTCACAGTGTGGCTTCTGTTTTTTGATGAACAGACCGTAAACACACCAACGGTCCGGCAATTTTCTGTGCCGCTTCGCAGACTGAATTGGTCACTTCTGCACATCGAGAGCCAAGAATGAGAAGATGTGTCTTATATAATACCTATGATTAACGTTATCAAAATACGCGAACTGCTTGAGATGAGAGTTAGTACTAGTACCAAAAGTTAGCTTTGTCCAGGGATCTCCCACAGTGCATCTCATTTGCCCTCAGCCAACTGAGGCGCCCAGAGCTGCCAACGGATCTGTCGTTGCTTGAGGCCTCCTCCCAAGTGGAGGAGATCGCAGATGGGGAACCACCGACTCGCCGATCTGGACACTGGTCCACTCTTGGAAGAAACGTAGGGCCAGAGTGGCATGCAGATCACATGGACTGGACAGTCAAACGATGGCAACAAAGGTCCAGTCCAATCACGAAGGGAGCAGGAAAGTTCATGGTGTGAGGCAACGGGTCAATCACAGGTTTTTGTGGACTCGTATTATATACTTATCCTCCAAGGGTAATAGCTTAGTGATCCAGGAAGTGGATTCTCCCAATGGTGTTTTTGAACCCCATGATTGTGACAACACTACTTGCCCGCTACTTACTCGGCAGGCAAATCGATCACCCTTCAGGGACCAGTTTGGCCTGCTCACCCCTTATGAAACACATTTGTACGAAATAAATTGGGTCGACGCCTTCGTTCAAACAGAGGCAAGAGGTGAACACCCGCTGCACCGCCCCACTGCCTGATGCCCTTGTTTTGAGTAGAGGAACAGATACAGTATACCTTCTTCTTGTAAATCCGGCTCGGTTGGGCACACGTTACCGCCGTTGGGCGTGTGTTCAGGCGAGGAGGCCTTACCAGATGTGTTGGATCCGCTGGAGGAGGGTGACAGGTCCATCGGGTGCACCATGGAAGAGATGGTCCTACCGAGTGTCATGGCACAGATGGAGAGGCTTTCCTTCGTGGGGCCTCAGAGGGTGGGCTAGTGGGCTCGTGGGTCCAACGCGGCGATTGGATTTGTTTATTATTTCCAGGGCTATGAAAAGGAACACTTAAGTCCTAAAAGTAGTCTATTCGAATCTGGAATCTAGGTGTGAGGTGTGGCTGAAGAATAGACACAAAGACCCAAGACACTGCAGTTTGGGAATCCATACATGCATTCCAGCTGCCAGCAGGGTTTTGACAGAACCTTGCTCTTTCGCCTTAAGATGCCTTCACCACCGATCTACAGTATTCGTCGAAGGATCTCCCTACTTCACATCGCCTGGACGAAGGGCACGGTCTGGTGGACCTGTGACGGCCATGCACATTTGCGAGCAAATCACCCGGAATCACCTCGAATTAACCTTTGAGCCTCTAGGTCTAAGTCAGGACGCCAACCTTATTTTGTCGGAATCCCTGCAGCCTGGAGTGCAGATGGGAACCCCTAGAGTATCATTTGGAATTCGCTTGGTGATTGCGTCATCTTGAGCAATGTAATGACGGGTATATCACTTTCCATGCCTCATCGTATTCCCTCTTATAGTCGTAATTGCGCTGTGGACTGGGGCTTCTTCACCTGGAAACTATCAATTTGTGCAAGAGCAAGGGTCCAAAGCATGTGACTAGTGTGTCTTATTCACTGCAAAACTTCTCGAGAAGGGACGTTAGAAGCCCAGTGTGCTTTCCCTGGTGACCAGCCTCTCTGGGTGTGATTAGTGATGATTAGTGATACTGCAATCAGACTCACTGGAGGGGCACACTAGACCATGTTGTACATTATTCTATTTTCAATCGTGATATATTGTACTGGCAACGGATCCCTGCACCACCTTCAAGAAGGGCTCCTTGGCTCTCACGCTTGTTCTCTTCCAGAAGTCACACGGCCGTCCTCGGCCGCCAATCCACTGTAGCCCCACACGATCGTCCTCGATTGTCCACACGATGGCTCACGCACGCCGCAAAAGCCCCCTGACCTTCGAGCCCTTGCTTCAAACGACAGTTCGTGCTTCCAACACACATAGCGACCTTCCGAGCAAACGAAGTGAAGACAGTCTCTGGTGGAATTGGCACATATTAACACTAGACTATGTTATATTAAAAGAACTATTCTTATCCACTTGAGCAGCATCAAAAACACTCAAGAAATACATTTAGATGAGGTTCATGTGGGTACTGTAATGGACCGCGCAAGTGAACATCCAGAGCGCGAAAGCTTTGAGAAAGCTTCGTGAAGGTGACATTTGGATCCGTTGTCGCAAAAGTAGTTGCGAAAGCTTTTCTGCAATTCATGTCTTTCCTGTTCACCATGGTGGCTCCACCAGCAATATCTCAACCCCTGGTGTCGGGTTTCCAGGTTTCCCGAGCGGCCCCTTCCTGAGGCTTCGAGTCGTTCCGCTCCTGGGAGGTGCCGCTCTCTGGCGAGCCTCCGCGGATGCCCAACCGCATGCTGCACGAGTATCATCTCTACCGCTTGCGAGGCGCTTTGAAGCTCGGAGTCGTCTGACGAGAGGTCGCTCGCTTCGGCTCGGAGTCTGACGAGAATCCAACATGCCACTGGCATCAGCATCAACCATCCTTGCCATCGTCGTCTTAATCATCGTCAAGCTGTTTGATGGCTCCTGTGTTGTTTCTCAATGAATGGTTTGATGTTTGAAGATACAGAGTTTCAAAAGACGAAGTCCGTTGCTGAACATCCAAGGACCAGGATTGACCGGAAGCGAGGAGCTTTTGCCAAGGAAATTTATTCCTGCCGAGGCGTGATCATGTTAGGTACCTCCATGATACAAGGAAAGACCAAAATGCCTGTACGATTCACCTCACCCATGCCATGCACGAAGATAGAACATTTTACCTCAGAGCTTTGGATCACTGGAACCAGAGTTGAAATTGACTACAAGTACGCTGATTGCTTATGACCGTGGCAAATCCATTCAGCAAGTCTTTGGCAAATTCACAAAGAAGGGACCGCTGAAGTAGAGGGAGCAGTCCACCGTTTCACTCCCACCCCACTGAAAAAGCTAAGAACACCTTTGTATGGTAGATCAAAAGCCTGCTCTAAACATTTGCTGTTAGAAGGTGCAACGCTCTAAACACACGGATCCGTGGGGTGTGAAGGAAAGACGACCAAATCCTCTGGTGCCCTGTATCAAAGTTCCAAAGCAAAGATGCGAGTTGACCTTCCTGGCCTTTTGTCATCCCTTGAGAATGAATTGCTCCAGAGACAGCTTGAGTACATTCCTTGTTGTTGTGATCATTCCACCAGTTCCGTCACGTCATGGGCCTGATGGCTTGGTTGGATGTAGATTTCCATCGGAGAATGCCGGGAGTCAATTCACAAATCCTCCAATCCAATCATTCCCAATTCCCAAAAACAAGCAATCGACGTAAGACATCATTGAACTGACTGACTGACGGACAGATGGACGGACTGACGGGCTGAGAGAACTTTCTGGTGTGATTGTATAAAAGGGAAAACCGTGAAAGCCTCGTTCCTGTGGGACTCCACTCCTCTTAACTTCTTGGATAACAAAAAGAACACGCTGGTTTGTTTCGCAGACCACTTCATCGCCTCACGAAGTAGGGATTGCCATGGTCCATAGTATCCATAGATGACAGATGACAGCTGCCAGATAGGAAGATGAATCTCTGGTGAACGTGTCTTGCATAGTAATAAGCTACTAGGAACAAGTGCATCGCTACTAGGAACAGGTGCCTTACTAGTAGTAACAAGAAGCTAGTAGAAACAAGTGCCACGCTACTAGTAACAGG